CACACACACACACACACACACACACACACACACACACACACACACCAGACAAGCCTACCTCGGTAGAAATACTTGCCACAGTCTTCATTTCCAACCGCAACGTACTCAAGATTGAATGGCTCTGGATGTCCCATCTTCGCACGCAGAGATCCCCATGTGCTCGACACGGGGCCATTGGCGAACTCAATGGCCTCCAAGACATCCTGATGGGAACATGTAAACAAGGCAAATTGTTGTGGGTTCAAATCCCGTTTTCCTAGGAGTTAGTTAATTATGGCTGACTGGCTGAAGCCTGAAGGCATTGGTTTTGTAACTCGAAATATCTAATATTACAACATTGTCAAGATTGTAATCATATTTTATGATGGGTTCAAAAAATTCAAATCCCATTTCCTCTGTTGCGTTGCGGCCCCAGTTCAAGTGGCCGAAGTTGCCACAGAACGCATGTTTTTCCAAGTACCAGGTTATCGGAAAGCTGTCTTTCAATTGTTAATTTATTAATATTATTATGCTTCCGGGTGCCTTATAAGTTATAAATTAGACTTCAAAAGCCAAAAGGAACAAAGCACTGAGTTTTCAAAACCATCCTTAGTATTCTACTATTTTCCTTATCAGTTTTATTTTTTTTTAACCTGATTTTTTACCTGGTCCAAGTTGGTTTTATTTTGCTTTCACTGGGATCTTTGGCAAGGTACTTTAAGTCCAGATGATTAATGAGTCTAATAATGACATAAGGTTCCCATGAACACAGTGATGACCGATTATTAGGCCAAGGCACTTTTCAGTCAAGATGATTAGCGACATCGTTCCCGTGCACACAATGATGATCAGATCATTTTGGTTACAATCGCGCTACTCCTTGTACCCGTTGCCAGGCATCTCGAGGGGTATCTTTTTTTTTTTTTTTTTTTTTTCATTCAGAAAAACAGAAGCTTACGATTCTGGCTCCATGTCCATTCTAGCGAGCGTCAGTCCGGTTCCTTTTCCACTGGCAACCGCGGCAAGTCAGAAAATATTACATCATTCATATACTCACCCTGCGCAACTTCCCATTGTTGTTGAAAGGCATCACGAGGGGTATCCCTGTAATTCCAGAGTGAAGTTCATGGAGAAAGGAGGGGCAAAACCGTAAACCACCCCTCCATTTTTTTTATTTTTTTTTAATCTGCCCATGCGGGAGCTAGGGGCACTGGTATATGCTGGACGCCTCTATCTCCCCCAGGGACGCTCCATCTATTGGTGGGGAGCAACACCTGCTGTGCTGGGAAACGGGTGCAGCGTCCCTTAAACAACCGCCATTCCGGTCCACCCCTCCATTTTGATTATTCTTATTTTCATGAATGATGATGAAGATGATGATGATGATGATGATGAATGATTACTTCAGGATTCAAACTCAGGTCTGTTTCTCAGCAGTTGCAAAGGGGTGTGCCTTTCAGCCACCAGGGCTGGTTTATCGTATCGATTGTGTTTCTTTCCGGGTTCGAACTCTTGATCACTTTATCATCATCTTAACTTACATGTGCATAGCATATCATCCAGGCACTTTGCACATGGGCTAAGTTACAGGCTCCAGTTCTCACATAGCAAGATGGTAAGGCACAACAACTGTGGGCACACAAAACATCCACACACAGTGAGGGAAAAAAAATTCAAAAAAGTTTGGGGGGCAGGAAAAAAAACAGAAAAGCAGGTCCTTCACTTCTGCAGCTGCTAAGCATCATTTTCTCCAATGCAGGTGACCCGGATTCTTCATCATTTTTTCGACCTTTCATCCCGGCTTACCTACCCACAGCGTTACTACTCATACCTCTTAACTTCTAAAGATGGGCTCATTATCGGCTCATATATAGCTTAAACCACAAGTACACGGCCCCAGTCTTGCAGTCCAAAACTTGTCGCCACAAGAAAACGAGGCCTAAACGTCAAACGCTGGGCCCGCCCGCCGTTGATAAATTCGATCGGCGGCCCCGTTTTCGTTTCGCAACTCCAGAATTTGAGGTGTCAGACCCGCGGCCCAGGTGGCCATGCACTGGTGGCTTAAGAAGTTAAAACCTCTCAAACTTCAAACCTCAAACTTCAAACTTCGTTCAAAATTCGAACTCTTCAAAATTCGAACTCTTCAAAATTCGAACTCTTCAAAATTCAAACTTCAAACTTCGAACTTCAAATTTTGAACTTCAGACTTCAGAGTCCATTGCCATTCATTAGCTGTGATGCAGATCCAAGCAATGCACTGAAGAGAGGGTAGAGAGAGAGAGAGGGGGAGGGGGAGAAGGGGGGGGGGGGGGGGGGGGCAACAGGTGGGGCGACAAGCAGTGGTGAGGGCAGGCTAGAGCAAGATGGTGAAGGTGTAACTGACGGGGAAGAGAGAGAACGTAGTCTTCTAGATGAATGTTGTCACAATTGTCTCGAAAGAGTGAGAAACTGCGGAAGTGTAATGGCTATGTTAGTATATTCCTGAGCAGAGAACGAACACTATGGGAGCACCATCCAGAAAGATTGCTGGGGCCTCAAGAGATTGATTGGACCATGGTGGCACCGGCAGCAGTAGTGTGAGTAGCTGAAACCTCAGTTCCACTGGGGTACGAACTTTGAAACCCCGGTTCCACAGGCGATTGTCTGTGATTGGGAGATGATATATTTGCAATTTTGCATTGAAGCCTGCAGGGCACATCTCTTGGATTCATTTCTAATTTTCTATCATCTTTGGTAGTTTACTCAACACCCTTTTTTTTTTTACTTCACACCATCTTGGAACTTGGTCACATATATAATTATTAAAATTTTAAAATTGTTTAATACCACTAATAAGTGACACGGTCATCATCTGGGCACCCCTCCTGTGAAGGGTCATTAAAACCCCTTCAGAGTAATAAATGAGAGAATAATGAGGATCAGATAGTCTGGGATTTGCTCAGATGCCGGTCTTGAGCAAGTCCCGCCATGCACATACGGGCTGTGGAGGGTAATGGGTAGGAGAATAATAGGTGAGAGAGTAGTAGGTGGGAGAACAGTATGCGAGGATCTGAGCCCAGTAGGCGGTATAGCCTTCCCTTGGGGAGTAATCAATGCCGTCCACGCGGGCCTTCCAACCATAATGAGGAGGAGCGTAAAGTGAGTACAAGTTGTAACCCTTTTGACTTGCCGGTGGAATAGCGGTGGTTTAAAGGATGCCCTTACTAGCGAAGGCCACCCCCTGAATCTCAATGAGCCCTGAGTTCTTCAATTGTGCAAAGCTTTGGTGGGCGCCGGACGGTTACCACGCGCCAGTTGGTTACGTATGCCCTGCTTCCCAGCATCGGAATCTTCCGTGAGCCTTCCGAGCTTGTCCAGACTAGACGTGCATGCTGGCCTCTCGGGCTATCAGAATGCAGGGAACACCTCATCACACGCGAGGAGGTTGGGCGCGCCTAGCTGCTGCGGGCCCAGGGCACTGTCTGAATGGGCCTGGGCGCAGACACCCTGGCACAACCTGAAGCTACTGCGCACACACCGGGCCATGCCACATCATATCCATATAGCAAAGTGCCCGGCCGTGAGAATGGGTTGGTGGTGGAGAGGGGGGGGGGGGGGGGGGGGGGGGGGGGGGGGGGGGGGGGGGCGCACATACGTTGATGCGGGAGCGCTGCTGGAAAGAGCGCTGAATGCTGCCTGCGTTGGGTGCCTGGCGTTCGCAGGCGCTAGAGGGAAGGTGGGCGCTGCATGGAAGCAGCGCCATAGCCCAGCCTCCATGGCCGGGCTTGGGTAGAGGGTAGGTCAGCGGGGACTGGCAGTGGTCCTTGGTTTGGAGAAGGAGCGTGGGGGAGAAGACGAGGGTTAGCAAAGAGAGGGCGAGTGGGGAGGTGATGTGAGAGCACGTACCTGGTCCTGACGGAGGTCTCCATGCTCGCTATCTGCATGTACTTTGGTTGCTGCTGCTGACGTCGACTGGTTGCTTTGTCATTTTGAAAGGGGCTAGCATAGTAGCTGTCTGATTGTAGTCTGGGCGCTGAGCGCCAGTAGCAGGAAGAGTTTCGAACTTTCGAGTAAATTGTTGTTCGTGGCGAGAGAGGGCTCTCATTGAGTTCCCTGCTTTGGTTCTCCTTCAGTAGTGTGATATCGGTGCATTTCTTCTTTCTGGACAGCTTACGACTATCTGGCATTCAACGTGATTTTGTCATTTGGAATTCTGTCATTTTCGCTATTGCTCATTTTCCTTGCAAGTAGGAGGGCACATTGGGAAGGGATTTGGTTTCAAAATGGACGTATGAAAAAATTAAACTGCTCAGGTTATGTCTACAAAATTGCAAATCAGTTGATTACAATGATTAGAGGATTCACATTTTTTGCTTGTAAATTCTGATATATAGAAGAAGAAGAAGAAAAAAAAGTACAAGAAACTACTGGATACTGGGCTTTAGGAACTCGTGATCAGACGAGAGAGTGAGAACAGAGGACTAATTTCTTCCCCCGAATACAACGTACAGTCATTATAGCTGCATCTAGACTAAAAGACGCCTCAAATACAGCTATTATGACCGTACGTTGTATTCGGGGGAAGAAGGTAGGTCTCAAGCCTTTCCAGTGTTCCAGCCACAATTCTAGCTTTTCAACAGACAAATTAAGCAGACTTGCTAACCAAGTCTGAGAGGTTTTGACGTTCACTTAAAATAAATTAAAATTACAAATTAAAATTTATAAAATAAAATAAAATTTTATAAAATAAAAATTATAAAATAAAATAAAAACTTAAAAAGAGTCTCTGAGTCTCTGCGAGGAATAGGAGAAGGAAAGGTAAGCTGCTAACAGTCAATCCTCACCCTTGCAGAGCAATCAATGCTGATCAGGAGTCCTCAGGCCAAAAGGACGGAAACGTGAGCGTGTGACGGATGAATTCTTACAACTTGCTGGGGAAAAGTAACCGGACTGATGCTCCCCAGAATGGATTTGGAGCCCAGACCATAAGGACCTGTGAAAAAAAGAAAAAAAGAAAAAAAAAAAGAAAAAAAAAACCTACTGGACACTGTGGACACTGGACAGCGGATACTAGGTAGTAGAGGGTAGAAAGTTACGATAAAGTTTTTTTTTTCCATTTGAAACTTTTCCGTTTACTTTGCAATATTGTCTTGTGAAATAAAGTTGAATTTGGACCTGGGTATTCGGGCTGGA